TAACAATTACAATACTTATTGTTCTCGGTTATATGCTTTTTTATGAACATAGTCATGATAACAACTATACTGACGAACTTATGGAATTTGATTATAAACTCGAAACTGTTGTGTACCTAGATTATAAATAGATCGTAATTGAATCGTCTCTATACCCCACAGCAAACCATTACTTACTCTCCCGAAAGGGATGCAACTCGTGCTAAAAATTAATTTAAACTCAATGCATGGTTACTTATAAATATGAAAAAAAGAAGACGTGAGGTTTGTAGGTGAAGGAATTAGTAGAAGAATATATGTTCAACCATTAAGGTTCGGGTTGTATGAGGGGAATTTTGTATAATTGGGGGAAAACACGGGCTCTGCATGGGCTCTGGGTTTCATCCTCATTTTATCGTTCGGTTCAAGCCTCCAAATTTATAATTAGGATTCCGGGCTCCTTTGAACAATAAAATAGGGCTACTGGCTCCACTGCTAGTGCTTACAAACAAGTCAAAACTCAGGAGCCTATAATTCATTGGTTGTCTTTTGTTGCCATCTTGTTTTCTCGTTTGAATTGTTTCACATTTGTCATGCTGGGGTCTTTTATGCTTGATATACGCTGTTGGTTTTGCTCATTGTTGACGGCCGTGCGGTGGCATATAGTTGCTTACAACAGCGTCCTTTGCTCTCTGGTGCATAGTTGTCTAGTTGCAATCATACCACATCTCCCTTTTTATATTAGGTTATGTATCTTTTTTGCCTTTGAAGCAAATGAGTTTATCTTTCAGTAAATATTTTAACCTTGAAGTTGTTCACACTTTATACACTGAAATCTTACATCTGATAGTTATATAGACAGGTTATGTCTAATTCTCAGTATTTATTATTAATAAATAATCATATTTTTTGCAAAAATACATTGGATAACTGAAGATAATTGTCTCGAACTAAAAGAATTTCATAGATACAGGAATAACGTTGATTAAGATGTATATATTCATTATTTGATATTTCAAGAAAATTCCAAATTCTGTCCGTACATCGGCTTTTAATTATCATGGATTAGGACATTGATGTATGGGATTTAAGATAAAATATAGACTACTCAAAATAAAGCCTCTACAATTTACTTTGTTTCAAACTGCGCATTTCTAGAATACAAATGATGGTACAGCAGACGACCGGTTCACGCGACCTATCATGGCTGCCATATCTTCTGCTTCAATGGTAGGATTAAGACAGATCTTCAAGACATGATATGAAATCACTTGCCGACAATCTTAATCTTTCTTTAGTTCAACACAAACTGATTGATCGGATTTTAAATTTAAAAATGGCGGAGACAAGACAAATTCATTTGGCGAAAATAAAAACTAATTATCAAGTTGAACGTATTGCTCTGGTAACAAATTAAATTATAGATTTTAGGGTTATGTAAGCTTACGTCTTTTGTAAAGTGCTTTTTGATGATGCGCATGTTACTTACGATATTAGATAGTGTTTCTCTTTTCGCTTTCATCGCAGAAATCGAGTTCTTTTCAAAGTTTCCGTCCTTACTGCTGCAAAACCAAAAAAGTAGATGGAATCAACGTCGAACATTTTAAATTATGGATTCTTTACTTGAAACAGGTTGCTTAATATATGTTCAATCTTTCAACAATGGTAGAAATTAAGTCATAAAAAAGTTTAAATGTGCAATTTTGAAAATAATGAACTTAAATGATGTATAAACTGAGCTTTAAAATGTCAACATGCATGGTCCTAATGAAATGTCGTTCAAACGTTCGTTTGGCTTGAAAATATCTACATGTGTTCGGTGTATTTTTTTGTATCGTACCCGACATGTTCGCACCATACTGATCATAAGGGAGCTACCATTTGATTTTTATGGGGCTAGGAACAAAAATTGTGTCCTGCATTTTTTTTTTAGTTGTAATCTCGGTCCTGCCTTTTTATTTTTCACTTTATTCGGTCCTGCCTTTTTTATTAGTTTATCCTGACTTTTTATACATAATTTGTCATCCTGCCTTTTTTTTTGCCAAGTTGCTCATCCTGCCTTATTTGTTTACTCAAACTGACTTCTGTCCTGCCTTTTTTTCAAATTTCATCCTAGCCCCCTCCCCCTAAAAATCAAATGGTAGCTCCCTAAACAGCGAATATTCCTACTTGTGCATACTCGTTCTTAAATATTCAGTAACCTACATGAGATAAGAAATCCATATGACGTGGAATATAAAATTTTGACATTATCCGACAAAAAAAAAGTAATAGATTCGATGGCACAGAACCAACTTTCATTCCGAATAAAAAGAATGTATTACTGTAGTGTTTAGAGTTAATCAGATTTACTGTTCATTTCACTTCACCAAATCTTGCTATTATGAACTAACTATAAGTAGTCAGCATATTTTGACACAACATTTCAAAAGCAGGTGGCATGCATTTCATTACCATAAACATGTACATGTAATACCGATGTTCTGGTGCGCAGAACAAAAGAAGACACATTTATAAACAATGTCATTTTACAATTGTTAAATCAAATGTACTCATGTAAAAAAAAAAACAACTAAAAATTGCACTTTCTATAATTTTTGTGTGTTCGAACCGCTTTTCTGGAATCACTTTCATCAAGAAAGCCCAAAGCTAACTATTTGAAGCTAGGGATGTTTAAGTACTGAATCACGTAAAGAGCTATATTACTAAAAGGGACCTAATAGCAAAATCAATCTAAGTAAGAATAAAATCCTTACTTGTATCTTTAAGTTAGGATAAAGCAATGTTAATGGACATATAGTAACTTACTTAATTAATAGTCTGAAGTGAAGAAAAAAAAACTTTCATGCACTTTTTCGAATATGTAATTTCATCGTTCACAAGACCATGATTCAGGTTTGAAATGGGTCTGATTAGGAATATACAATAAGAATTCATAATTTGGCATAATTCATCGATATGTATAAACTGTATCCTTGAAATGTCATTTTCATATCTTTTTTTACATGACGGAACATATGATAAGTCGGTAACTGACAAGCCGTTTGTATATATGTTCATTTCACGCCACATCGTTATATAAACATTATGTAAAAGTGCTCAGATGAAAGATTTCCCTCCATGCTACAGATAACAGTCTATGAAGATTTAAACGATACTTCTAAAGCTGCAAAGTCGTAATTTTACAATTAAAAAAGCTGTCCGTGTCTTATTTAATCTCGTAAACAATTACTCAGCCAAAAAGAAAAGATAGCCTAGAATATACAAATTGGAGAATCGACACCAAAAACAATGTCACTGGAAAACAGTGTCGAGACGATATGTTGTAGCCTTTCGTCGTCGCGATACGTTGACTTGTTCTCAGTAGATGGCAATCTCAGCCTTCTAATATAGCATTTTCTTCATATTAAATTCCAAGTGTATTATTCGGCGAAATTGAAAATTCAAATTGAAGCAATACCGGCACCAAATCAACACTAAATCAATGACATTGATAACAGAACCGAGACGATATAAATTCTCGCCATCGTTTGACTTTGTTCTCAGCCTTCTCATAGCATTTTAATGTTATTAATTTCCAAGTGTATTATTAGTATTTGGTGACTTGAAAATACAAATTGAAGCATTACCGGTACAAAATCAACACAAAAACTATGACATTTTAGACAGAGCCGAGACGATAAAAACTCGCGCCATCGTGAGACTTTGTTCTCAGCCTACTCGTAGCCTTTTAATGGTATTAATTTCCCAGCGTATTATTGTTATCTATACTCATCAACATGCCAAAGGAAAGCAGTTGGTGCAGAACAAACGTAATCATACTTTTATGTTCTCTTCATTAACAATTACTGACTTTACAAATTAAGTAATGTATATTATCTATACATGTGGCAAATAGTTCTTTTTGTTTTATCACTTATCTTTTATTACTTAAGCTTCTGGTGTTGCATAACCATGGTACTGAAATATATCTAATTATCTTATAATACAGCATTTATGTAACTGGTATTTTTCAAATGACCGGTGTTTTGGGATGTTTCGTTCCGTTCGATTGCGCATTTGATGAATCTCGCCAAGCGTATCTGAACCAAATTAGTTAGTTTTTAAACCACATCATCGTTATGCATCACCGCAGGCTGGGAACAAAGTCTCAAGAATTTTTTTCAATGCATTTGCTTAGGATTTGATTTGTGACGCCCTTACTTTATTTTAAACAAAGGGATAGTTGTAACTGAGTTTCAGATTTGAGTTAGTACTTAGAACGACAAAGTTATTTCCAAACTAGTTTTAATGTTGTAAAATAAACAGATGTTTGAAATACAAACTTTTGAACCGATGGCAGTACAAGTTAAAACCTTTAAGAAGACCCAGTTTTAAAACATCAAAATAAATCATTTAGTAGTCATCTTTTCTTTTAATCCATAAAGATAATTAATTCTTCAGTTTGTTTTTGATTTTTGACTTTTAATTTAACTTCACATTTAAGCTTATCTCTCAATTACTGCGTTTAATAGTTTAAATGAATTTCGACACATAAACCGTTTTATCTGTTTTTAATATACTACACAAAACACATTAAAATATATAAATGGAGCTAGTTAGCAACAGACAGGTCATCACTGGTCATTTGTGACCAGACATGTGTTGTTAGTCAATATTGTTGTTCATTTTATTATATTAACATAATTGATTTTATGATTCATATTCAAAACATTATATGAAAATGAATGGAGTTTAAATATACACTAACTTTAAATAAACTTTTAATATAATGATTCTTTATGCGATGAAAAGAAGATAAATACCCTCTTTAAAGGGGTCAGGTACGATTAAAAAATTTGAAGTGAAATAATATGTTTGTGAAGAAGCATTTATCCGTACTAACATTAAACAGAAATTTGAAATACGATCTATAAAAAAAATATGTGTTAAGTATGAAATGAGCAACAGTTAGATTGAAATTGACATTTTCCATGTGGCCAATAATACTTGATGTGTCATATCTTTTCTGCACCGCAGACTGAAGATTTTATCAGATATGACAGAGTAACTTTCTACATCTAAACATCTCGCTACCGAAATCTAAACAGTTAATGAAATCAACATTGAAATATCACATGTGACGGGATATACTAAATTAAATTGTCAGCGAAAAAAGATAGCATCGACAAAGCTAGATTTTACTTTGTTCCTGACCTCGAGGATACATATCACAGTGAACTAAAGCAGTATTTGAATATTTATATTTACTTTGTTCTTTTATCTTAGAGAAGAAACAATGTGTTAGGATGATATGAAGTGAGAATTAAAACGAATTTTTGTGAACCGTGGACTTAACTAAGCAATTACACTGAAGGACACCTTCCATAAATTACAGAACTGTTCAAACAAAAATATCTGTATAAATATCAAATGTCGATTTCATTGTAGCATTTCTTCTGTTTAACTCGTTATCGCTCATTTGCACAAACGTTTATTTAGGAATTAACTAATTAGCACGTGAGATTCTTGTCAGGAATTAGAATATAAGCTGTTATGTGAAACTGTTTTTAAATTCTACAGGTGCGTTTTTTGTTTATATTGTACTTATTGGCCGGTGTAACATGTCATATGGACGGATTAGCGTACATTTTATATAATGATGTTACGGTTTGTGTATGTTAAGGATATATAGGCGGGATTTATATTCAAAGTGTCAATTATTTTTGTATAGATCGCGGAGTAATAGACCGTGCTTAATCGATAAGACGACAACAGGAAACCCCACAAATACCTCACGTTACCAGTTTCGCTTTAACCACGAGATTTCACCTATCATTGTTTTTAAGTGGATATTTTTCATAACAAGTCGGGATGACAGTCCCAGGCTGTCCAAAGCATAAAGGTAGGTGAAAATTTATTTGTTTACGTTTTGATCGAAGAAAAATCTTACTTAAAAATGCTTGACTGAAAAGATTCAGACTTGACTTATTGATTGCATTTTAATAGATTCAATTATACGGTTGAATATTACTTGACTGGCTATCTCGTTTGGCACGTGTATACCGCCCTTTTGTTTTTATGAATGAACGGGCTAGGGTGGTGATGGAAAACCTGTAAAATACGAAATTTGAATATTTGACATAAAATATGATTATTTCATTTTTGATTAATTGTACGTCTTTACTTTAAAAGTTTATTATTATTATTATTATCTGATAATTAAAATTGTGTCCCAAGCTTAAGCCTAGTAGTAAAAAATGCGAAGTCATATGTTACAGGAAAAGTACATAGAGGGGAGACACTGAACGAAAAAAAATCACGATTTAACAGCTTTACATCATGTATATTTCAAAAATGAAACATGGTTACATATATAAACAATTTTGTTTTTATTACAACTCAATGTTTCATGTCTAAATGTTTGACAAGTATATCAAAATTATTTGATTTTTTGTGCCCTTGATAATTTTAAATAGACAAAAAATGGCTGTGGTTTTCAATACGGTGTCTCTACATAAAGCAGAGGTCAGCGATTGCAAGCTCTATCTCGTATAGAATTTTTATTAAAAAGGAACATAATAGAAGTAGTTTCTTGACTGAATAACTCTGTTAATAATTATCCATAATATTTTAAATTATTCGTCTTAAATATGAACTCACTGACTGAATGTATTGTTTGAAGGAATGATCAAAGTGTACGATAGAATACAAAATATTTGGGAGGTGATTTTTGATAAGATCAGGTTTTTAAAATGTATTAAACCATGACGTATAAATGATATCTAGATCTTAGCCTAGCTGTTATCGTCTTTCCTCATTATTATCGCATAGACATTCTTTGTTCAAACTCGAGGGGACAAAAATATTTTAAGAATATATCATAATTTGCAAGACATTCTCAATTCTTTTGCACAGAACTGGTAGTGTTGTAGAGTGCTCATAATTTGAAAAAGGGGTCATTAAGAAAAAGGAGAATAAAACGTACCTACTTTTTCGTTGACATTAAAAATGTTAATCGTAAAAAGTTGACAACAAATCTTAAATAATAAAACAAGAAAACAATAGATTTGAAATTGGAATTGGGTCAAATTCTTCATTGAAATCACAAAAAGTGTATCTTGTCACCACAGCAACTAGCTTCAATCAAGAATGAACCCTTCAATTTTAAAAATAAGGAGTAATAGTATAAACGAGGCAACTTTATCTACCAGAGTTAAGTCACCGTCAAATTTGATCTATGAATAATCTGTGCTCTTTTTGGCTTCATCATTTGTATAATTTTTTTGTTCTTAATTCAAAGGAAAATAAACTGTCTGACTCGATTTTTTATTTAGATAGCCTTCAAGTAAACTCGAAGCTTATTACGTCTAGGGGGTAAACACATGGAAAATGTTTTGTCAAAAAATTCAATTCTTGTACAATTCATTGCTTCTAATAAAAAAAAAACATTTCCGTTTTACTAAAAACTCTTCTTTTTCTTTGCCACTGGCATTGCAATAGTTTTAAATTAGTAAACCTTAATTTCCCTGATCAATTTGTTGCTTTATTAAGAGTTGTTGAACTCTGAAACTTGTGGACGGAGCATGTTTAATCAGGGATGCACAATGTATGCATTAGCTTTCTAGCTAATTCAACTGGATAGTTCATCCATATTACAACTCTCATATTGCCCATAAAATCAGACAGAATCAAATCACTGTGAGCAGATTTTGTCTTCAGGCAATTGAGGAAACAGCCTATTTAGGAAAGCAATGGGATACATTGGACGTAACAATCTATAAAGAGAAGATAAAATATAAATGCCGAATAGTTACCGGTCCTCTCCAGGGACGGGTTTCATATTACAATAGTCATTCTCCAGTGTATAAACCTTTTAATAACGCATGAAAAACGAGAAGAAATAAATATAAAAGTTTTTAGAAACAAGTTGTAATAGAAGACTCGTATAAATCTTTTGAGAGAAAATGTAATTTGTATAAAATATAAAACATGGCAGTAAAAATAGATAGCTTGTTATTGATTATAAAGAGATTCATCACTTGATTCAGAATCAGCGCAGGTGGTATAATACATCTACCTTGTGTTAAAAAAGGGGGATGGTGGCTGAGTAATTTTTGTTTTCAATTGATTATTCATCGACGAGTTCATTCATGAAGTTAGTATTCGTACTTTACAAACTGAATGGTATACATGTAATGTGTTTTGATCACTCAGTTGGTCTTAATTAATTTCGGTTAAAATTAAAGATTTTACGTCATGACTATGATCACGTCACGTTCTCACTCTCTCAAAACGAGTTTTACCACTATAAGCAGACAGACAGTATACTTCTACTTTTAACAAACAATTCAGTCTTCTTTCTTTTTTTTTTTTAGAACGAATGTGCTTATATTTTACATTCACTTTGAAAATAAATGTCACATTTTTTTTCTTTAGGGAATAACTTCAGGTCAAACAAATTTATCCGGTTGTACTACATGCAAACACATGATCTTCTTGTCTTAACGGAAATAATTACTGAGGGCTCAAATTAGTACTTGTAAACGTGTAAATGTACAAAACATATGCATGACAAAAAAAAATTTTCAATGTTAAAAATTTCATCAAAGGTCTATTTCATTTAATTGTTTATATCGTTTAAAGTCACTTGACATTAATACGACAAATCCGTTATTAGTAAGTATTATCAATGGTTTTTAATACGTAATAAACATAATTCAGTTATAATGTGTTAAACTTTGACTCAAAAAAAATCTTTAAAATAGATTTTTACTTTGATTCGCTGTAGGTAAATTCGTTTCTATTCATATATTTAATCAGGTGCCACTAATTTGAATGAATTATAAACCGTGAAATACTTTTCTTAAATAAATTAACAGTATAAGATTATCATACATAAGTAGTAGCCAGCTGCCATTTTAGTATTGTTTATGAAGTACTGATTTAGTTTTACTGTACAAAACATTCAAACACTTACTACAGTTAATAAGATTAACATAATACAATTATCAAACAATTATCTTAAGTTTCGTCAGGTGCTTGTCAGCTGTCAATATTTATTTATCACTGATTGTTTTGATTACCTGTAAAATGACCACAAACATGTCTGGACGTTGTCTGGTCATTGATAACGATTGCAATCTGGTCTCGATGTATCACACATTTCTACTTTGTTGGAAAGGGGGAGGGCATTTTGGCTAAATATGTCGCTAAGAAAGCGATCCTGTCATATTTCTGACTATCCAACCGGGCCAAAAACACGGGGTAGAACGTCAGACCAGTCTGGGACCAATTACTGACATCAGAATAAATACCCTACTTCTGAATTCCATCAGTATTCACAACTCGGTTCCAAATTAGAAAAAAAAAATCTCAAAGTCATTTGAATTTGTTTTCTTAAAAGGAAATACACTATTTCCTGTTCTACTATTGTATAAGTATTTTATTTCCTATCTTAAAGTAATTCAGGCAATTGCCGCGATATAAAATGTGTAAAATCAAATAAAGGGCTCATTAGCTATACTTGATTGTGTGATGAATTAGAGTTGATGTTTTTCAACTGTTATGAACTTGGATGTAGTTCGGTGCGCCCATCATAAGGTCTCTGTCCTGATACATCGAAGTTAGATTCCAGATGATACTAATGGCAAATTCACATATTTCTGTCTTATATCATTTTTAAAATAATATATTGTACAAAAGTGCCTCATAGGAATTTACATATATAACATGTATAAGTATCCAGATTGTCTTTTTTAACGTTATACTATACTTTAACGCAGTAATACTGCGTTTGATTACATATACCCTGTTTACTTTATTGGTTGCTCAACAGTCTAATACTTGCAAAATAAAAAGCTACTCTGAGAGATTGTTTCACACGCGTACCAACCCGATAGAGATTAATATCAACGAGAGTGCAGAGAGTTGATATCCATTGATGGTTGATTTCTCCGCATGGTCTTTTTATGTAACTATATATTGTTCAATAAATTATACATGTTTATAATAGATGATTATTGTAGATGTGTTCCAATCATAGGTGGGACACAGTTAGACTCATTGAATTGTCTATGACAGAAGTACATATCTTTTACTGAAACCCAGTTTTTAATTGTAACATTGCTTTGAGTAAATCCATTTGAATCCCTGCTAATTGTTTCTGCCGTATGCTGGATCAAGGAATTATATGTAAATAAGATGTTTATTGGTTAGAGCAAATTATATATATACAGTACCTCTTAGATAAAGCAATATTTGATGTGCAGGAGATTCAATCTGATAAAAATTATGCCTTTTCATTTCTTACTGCCTAGATTATTGTTACTTTAATTTTTCAGTAAGTATATATATATATAATCTCGAATTATTGATGTTTTTGTCAGGTCAAATGGTTATGCCACTTTTGGGACCTCTAATTGGAAAACACATCTTCCTTATAATCCTTGCCTTGATGTCAAAATCGATTTTGTTTTCATGTAAATTTGCTATAAAAAAATCAACAGAAATTTCTTCTAATAACGTCCATAATACACGTATGTACAATTGTATTATCATGGAATTAAGATGTATTTATTTACATATGATTTACTGAAGAAGGTGTCAAGTGTTGTGATGATAAGCGGAGATTTCAATATTGATACTGATTGTTTATTGATTGTTTATTGCGCAACTTTTATTATGTTAATCCTCTGTCCACTTATTCAAGCACATTTTATAGATTACTGTGACACCCTGTTTGGATTGTTAAAATAACATCAGAAACCGTTTTTGTAAACAAATTTAATGGTATCATGAAATAATAAAATGGATTAGGATGTTAAATTTGTATAAGCTCTTGTAAATGAATTTGAAGTGCAAATTTAATAAAAGCTTGGATTTTTTTATGTACTTTGATTGACA